ATATATATATAAAATATATGTATCTCACAGATTCTGGAGAACCAGTTTTTTTGTTTACTTTATTTTATTTATATTTTTCTGGGGTTAAAAACAATCTTAAAACATCTAAAAACAATGTTGAGGTATATGCATTCTGTAACTTATAAGGCTGCTTTTTAAACTTTCAGCCTTCTCATTTTATTGGCTTGAGCTCAAAAATATGGTAATTAATCTACCAGTCAAAAATAGCACTTTATGTCCAGACTTTTTGGCCTTGTTTTCAGGATTTAGACAGCTTGATTTTAGTTGAAGAGCCTATGTTTTTCCCCGTTGTGTGTCTTTGCTCTTCTTGACCACTGTTTTTTTTTTTTTTTTGGAGATGGGGTCTTGCTCTGTCACCCAGGCTGGAGTGCAGTGGCACAATAATAGCTCGCTGCAGCCTTGAACTCTTGGGCTCAAGTGATCTTCCTTATTCTCCCAAGTAGCTGGGATTATAGGCATTCACCACCACACTCAGCTAATTTTTTTTGTAGAGACATGGGTCTTGATATGTTGCCCAGGCTGGTCTAGAACTCCTGTTGGTCACTTCACAAGTTAGTCTCCTTTTCACTTGCCTTTCTTTCATACTTTGTCACTTGTCCCCTTTTCTCCATTCTTTCTGGCTCCCTTCCTCCTCTATAAATCTTCCTCTTATCTTTTACCACTCTAACCTTATTGCTTTTCTTTTTCTTCTCATATTTCTCCTCTTTGCCCTTTTTCACCCTCCCTGCCTTCTATATACAGATAGGACAGATAATATAGTTTTGTTTTTTTGTTTTTTGTTTTTTGTTTTTGCTGTATCCCAGTGCTTTTAAGAGTGTCTAACAAATATTAGAACTCTCAATACATCTTTTCTGAATAATAAGTAATACTATTTCACGGATAATAAATATCTTACTCAATTTTTTTTTCTGGCACCTGTGACAATTTAATAAACATTAAGAACCTACTATATGTCAGACACTGAATCACAAAGATGAAATTAAGACATAGGCCCTGCCCTCAAGGAATTTACAGTGTAAGAAGAGAGACTAACAATAGATGATTTTTAAATATTTATGCTAATGTATTATGGAGGAGAAGCACTTTTAGCCCAACTAGGAAGTTCTGGGAAATCTTGCTGAAAAGAATGATGAATAAGGTCTTGCAAGATAAATAAAAGTAGGAAGGGCAACAACAATGTATATATACTTAACAAGACTGAACTGTAGACTTAAAAACTGTTAAGATGGCCAATTTTATTATGTTATGCATATTTACCACAATTTAAAATAAAAGGTATGAAGTATGTTCCAGATAGTGAGGATGGCAAGATCACATTGTCTAAAAAATTGACTCATAGGAAACTATGATAAATATAGTTGACTCTTGAACAACACAAGGAGTTAGGGGCACTGGCTCCCTTTACAGTCAAAAATCTACTTACAACTTTTGACTCCCCCAGAACTTAACTACTGATAGTCTTTTGTTGACTGAAAGCCTTACCAATAACATAAGCAGTTGATTAACATATATTTTGTATGTTATATAGATTATATACTGTATTCTTACAATAAAGTAAGCTAGAGAAAAGAAAATATTATTAGGAAAATCCTGAGGAAGAGAAGATACATTTTCTATGCATTAAGTGGAAGTGGATCATCATAAAGGTCTTCATCCTCCTCATCATCACATTAAGTAGGTTGAGGAGGAGGAGGCACAGGAGGGGTTGGTTTTGCTGTTTCAAGGGTAGCAGAGATGGAAGAGGTGGAGGAGATGAAAGGAGAGGCAGGAGAGGCAGGAGAGGTGTACTTGGTGTAACTTTATAGAAATCAATCATAATTTCTGTCTTTTGCTTTTTCATTTCTCTAAAAATGTTACGATGTGGTACCAATCCTTCTTCTACCGTTTGCTTTAGTTTTAGTCCCCATATCACAGAGGATAGATGTTGTAAAAGAAGTCAAAAACAGTCTTGAGTAATCAGAGCCCTTCTGCCAGATTGTCTAATGTTAGTTTATTTTCTGGCATTGCTTCTTCTGTGTCTTCTCATTGTCTGGCACTGGTTCAGAAGCACTTACCTTCATGAAGTCATCTTCTGTTAATTACTGTGGTGTGGCGTTAGCACTTGAATTTCTCCAACATGCATATCTTGAGACACTTCACCCCCAACTTTTTTTTGGCATATTCATAATCTCTTTTATGATTTCCTTGATTTGCTCTATTGTAAATCCTATGAAATCCTGGACAATCTCTGTACAGTTTTTTTCTAGCATGGATTTATTATTTCATGGCTTTTTTTTTTTTTTCTTAGAGATGGGATCTTGCCATGTTGCCAGGGCTGGAATGCAATGGCTATTCACAGGCAGGGTCATAGCACACAGTACAGCCTACAACTCTTGGGCTCAAGTGATCCTCCTGCCTCAGCCTCCAGAGTAACTGGGGCTACAGGTGCATGTGCCACCACTCCTGGCTTAATGGCTTTTTCTATAATAATGATGGCATTTTCAATGGTGTAATCCTTCTAGACG